CTTGTTGTTTATCTATTTTATGTATAGTAGTTTGTATCTGCTAATCCCAAACTCCAAATTTATCCCTCCCCCACCCCTATCCCCTTTGGTAACCATAAGTTTGTCTTTTATGTCTGTGAGTCTGTTTCTGTTTTGTAAATAAGTTCACTTGTATCATTTTTTAGATTTCACATATGAGTGGTGTCATGGTATTTGTCTTCCTCTGTCTGATTTACTTCATGTAGTATGATAATCTCTAGGTCCATCCATGTTGCTGCAAATGGCATTATTTCATTCTTTTTTCATGGCTGAGTAATATTCCATTGTGCATATATACCACATCTTCTTTATCCATTCCTCTGTCGATGGACACTTAGGTTGCTTCCATGCCTTGGCTACTGTAAATAGTGGCACGTCACTTTCTCTTCCCCTTCAGTTGCTAATTAGATTCCAGCTTTCCTCTGCAGTGTACCATACATGTTCTAATCCATACTCTTGCTGTCACCTGGACCGTAGCAAACTCATTCTTTTTTACTTTTTATAACTTTCTATATTAAATCCTTTTTACAAGTTATAAACTGGCATATGCATTGTGCAGCTAGTGAAATAATGTATGTAAATAGAGGAGAAAGAGAAAAGAAAAAAGTTCCTTATACCTCCTCCCTTTGCATCCTTTTTTCCTGCCATACTGTTGGCATAATGTTGCCAAATTTGGGATACATCCCTCCAGACCTCTCTCCTGCTCATACAGAAACATAATAATAGTATTTGTTTGTTTGCTTTTGCAAGAACAGTATCGTATTTTGCACATTGCAACTTACTTTAGATATTTCTTCAGTTCAAGATATAGATTTAACCTGTTTAAAAAGTAGCTGCACCATAATCCACAGTGTGGCTGTATTGCAGTTTATTAAACTGTGTCCCACGGTTGGATGTTCAGGGACTAGGCTGGATGTTTTCTGTTTGCCTCTTCAGCTGCCCTCGCCAAGGTTTTCTGTCTTTCTCCACACCCTGGACCTGTCTGGGCTGCACCAATAGGTCCTTTGCCCTTGGGCTCCTGGTTGGATTTAGTTGATGTGGCACCACTAGGGGACTAGAGGGAGGGTGGACCACGAAATCAGGTTTTCCCTCTGATTCCTTGCTGCTGGGTTTTCCCTCTGATTCCTTGCTGCTGTGGAGTGGCGACGTGCCTCTGCTGGAGGTCACAGCAGGCGCCCTCTCTGCACAGCTGCTCTCTTCAGCTCCGGTAATCACTCCTCTGGCCTCCTTGGGCCTGGGGATGGCATTTCTCCCTGCTGTTGGTGTGCTCTGGATGCTGCCCATCCATTTAATTTCCCTAAACCCTGCCCACGCTTTGTTAAATAATCCCTTTGTTAAATGCACTTTAATAATCCAATTTGAGTATTCCATCTGTTTCCTGGCATCCTGAGTGATATAGGTTGTTGCTTTTTCTTCCTTTTCCCAACCCCCACCGCTTGCTGTTACATTCTAACTAGTTCCTTCCTTTATCTCCAGCATGGCCATTCTGTCAGCTTTTTTTTTTTTTTTTTTTTTTTTTCTATTAAGCACATTTTAATTTTTTTATTTAAAAAGTATTCTTTTCTAGCCAGTCCAACTCAATATTGCTAAATGGATATTATTGGGCTGCTAATAGTTACTGGGCTCTGTAGTAGGCACTAGGAAAAAAAGATAAATCAGACACGACCACCGATCTCAAGATCTCAAGTGTCCTTGATTTATATAAACACTCACAAGCACCAGGACATGCAGAGAAGGGTTAGTATAGTGATGGATTTCTCATAATACCTGAAAAGGTCAATAGGGGTCTCTCATGATTCACTGAACCACTTTTCACTATAACTTACAAAGCACTAAGTATTTATGGATTTACACACTTTCTTTTCATGATCTTGGGAATAGATTATACTAAGCAACTGTAGATGGGTAAATGAGACGGATTTGACTTCAGTTTTTTTTTTTTTTTTTTTTTTTAACTCTTCGATTGTATTTCATTCATTTTCTCAAAATCCTTCCACAGCTCCCCAGGACCTATGGGATAAAGGTCAAACCCCATAGCCAGCCACTGTTTGCATCCCCTTCGTCCAGAATCCAAAGTATCAGGGACCCCACCCATTTCCACAATTTTCCCCTGAAATGCATTTCTTGCCTTGATACGTTTGGTTTTCCCAGTGACTGGTTATGTGACACCAGACCCTGCACTAACCCCCCTAAGCTGCCATGTCTTCATCAACCCAGTGGGGAGAAAACAGCAGATAATTCATTTCATTGAGGATTAATTGAACAAAATGTACATAAAGCTTCTAAGAGTTTCTGACATGTAAGAAGTTTTCAGTAAATGCTAGTTACAAATTATTGTTCCCCCACTTGCCTTGGGTCATACCTGTGTGTCCAGATTAGCCATTTTCCCAAGACCCACCTCGGCTCGCCTCTGTGGACCCTTCTTTGATTTCTACCAGAGGATTTTTCTCCCATTTCTCTCTCTCTCTCTTAATTAATAGACTTTGCTCTTCAGATCACTTTTTTTTTTAACATCTTTATTGGAGTATAACTGCTTTGCAATGGTGTGTTAGTTTCCGCTGTATAACAGATCACTTTTAGGTTTACAGAAAAATTGAGCAGGAAGTAATAAGAGTGCCCATGTACTCCCTCCCACTCCCCCCCACCCCGTTTCCCCTTTTATTAACATATTGCATTGGTGTGGTAAACATTTGTTACAGTTGATGAACCAGCATTGATATGTTATTGATGAAAGCCCATAGTTTTACATTAAGTTTCACTCTCTTTTGGGGGTACCTTTCTATGGGTTTTTACAAGTGCATAATGCCTTGTATCCACCATTAAAGCATCTTACGCAATAGTTTCACTGCCCTGAAAACCCTCAGTGCTCTGTCTGTTCACCTGTTCACCCCTCCCTCCCACCCACTCCCTCCCCAAACCACTGGCAACCACTGATCATTTCACTGCCTCTGTAGTTTTACCCTCTCTCTTTTTACTTCACATTATTATTTGTGGTCATGGCTTAATTTTTCCGACTGTTTTGTCCTTGCCTTCCCGTACACCTAACATAACATCTTCACAGCCAGTAGTCACACAAGTGTACGTTTCAGGAATGAATTATTAAACCTGTTTATCCCTAGAATCAAGACCTGGTTGAAATTTCAGGCCCTCCTTCCTGATGAAGTAGGCATTTGGCTTTTACACAGGCTGTCGAGCTGATGGGACACAGGATCCCATTTGAACATAGCTGGACCCCAGTTTCCTAGCGTGCATATGGGACAGAGAGCTTTCACCCATAACACATGGATCTGAGGCCTAAAAGTACCAATGCAAAACAAAACAAAAAACCCCCAAATGACAAACACAACACAGAACTCTCCTATAAACCCAGACCAAAGGTGGCCATGAATTAGATCTCCAAAGCACTGACTTTTCTTCAATCTATATTCTACTTTATATACTCTGTCCTGAGCAACACATTTCTCAGGCCCTTTATATGTAATAGTAGGAGCTACCTTACATTTATACTGCAATTTGGATTTGCCTTTAATTGTACATGTACATAATCAGAGCAATAAAATAGAGGTGGTAGCACAATCGTGAAATTAGTAGTAGTGGTAGTATTTGTAAGGCCTGCCACCCATGGAGCTTTTTCTAAGTGCCCTGACCCCGCATCATGATATTTAATTCTCGCAGAGATGCCCATGCAGCTCTGGCTTCCAAACTCCCTTGGTCGCTACCTAAATTCTGAATGGTTTTGCAAACTGTGATTAGGGCTGGTTTCCATCCAGACAGCAACCTTTCCATTTTTCCTTCCCCAAAGCCCAGCTAAAGACGGACCACATTTTTTTTCTTGTACCCAGATTTGTCACATCCTAGTTTATGTTAAAGCATGCTTGTTCTCACACTAGATTTACCCACCCTGCCCCTCTCTCTCCTTGTCCCTAACCTTCTGAAACGGTGATCCTTCATTCCAATAACCTCCTCCGTGTGCTGTGCTGCCCAGTACCAGGGACATCCCTGTGACTCTGCTTTGGACACTGCTCAAGCCCATGGTGGCTCACATTGGTCCATGTCGGTCCATGTTTCAAGAGCAGGGATGGTAGTCCTGCTGTTACGTTAGATCATTTTAGGTGATTCTGGAAGAGGGCATTCAATAAAACTGAACCACAAAGAGAGAAATTTTGTCCCCTTTCTAATTATTTTTCTAACCTTATGAGCAGGTCGAGGAAAAAGTCTTAGCATACTGCTACTTTGTCTTGAACACCACCCCTCCACTCCCCGCCCCACCCTGACAATGGGTAATCTTCCTTTTAACAAAGGTAGCAGATCTGAGCTTATCCTTCAGAACCCTTTTGAGGGCAGAGAATAGAGCCAAAGTTTCATGAGGTTTTTATTGTATTCATTCCTAGGTTTACTGTCTATTTTTGGTAAGTGATACTGGCTTAGAATTTATGGGAGTGAGACAGTGTTTACTTTTAAAATATATTTATTTCAGGATAATATTAAGTAAATAACAGTACAGTTTGTACCAGGATCTGTCCAGTATCATGAAAATAGCACAGTAGTGACTGAGGTTTGGGCTTCACAGGCCCAGCTGACCTTCCTGCTTGAGGTTGGAATGGCTTTGTGGCTCCTCTGTCCATCGCTGTGTCATCCCTCCCCTACCCCTCCTCTGGTTCCCTGTCTGGTTATCCACTCGTGCTTATCCGTGTCTGGAACCCTGTTAAAGACTGGGAGAGTGTTATCGGGGGCTGGGATTAAGATGCCATCCCCGGTTCATTTCGCCACTCCAGTCTGACCCAGGGCAGGGCACATCACTTGTCTGGCCCTTCGATAATTACGTCTTCAAAATGGTAAACATGAAGTTCTGGGGGGAAGAATGCGCACAGCTGGCTTTGATGTTCTAGTTCAGAAGAGTGAGCCGCCACCCTGCCCTGGTTAATCCTGCCCTTGGCTACTGCCTCCTCTGCATTACTGCTTTCCTACCTTGTGGTCTGTCCTTCCAGGGCCAAACCAAACACATGAAAGAGACAACAGTGCTTGCCATTCATTATGCATTCTGCTTGGTGGGCTGTGCTTTGAAGGGAGTGCCCCCCCCCACTCTCCCCTCCCCACCCACTCCCAGCATTAGCCTCCATGGTGCACACTTGGTCATAAGTATGTTTGGGTGGTGAGAGAAAGGAGGGATGTTTTTGAGATTCATCTGTAGCAGTTCAGAGGTTTGTAATAGCCAGCCCTGTACAACTATGCCTGGTTTCAATGAAGACTCAGAGCCAGGAAGCTGCATTGCCCTTCAAGAAGTCTTATGTCCTCCCTGACCTTACTCGTTCTCTCCGTCTCCATGGCATGCTTGTCATTGAGGGGCCTGGAGACAGATCCGTGCATTGGGCAGGGAGGGTGAGTTTGGGGGCAGGTTTGAGACCTTGCCACCCACTCCGCATTCCT